CTATTACGCATGATCAAACAACAAGTCTTACTATAGATGTGGAAAGTTCTGCAGATAATTTAACTAATCAAACAGCTGGGGACAATACTGACAATGCACAAATTTGGTCATCAAGGGAATCATCTCCCAAAATTTCTCGCGAACAGGACAAGGTACAAGGTTTGTTGCAAGAATTGACTATACCTACTAAAGGAGAACCTGAAGAAGAAAATGATAGTGAAGAGGGTGGGGGATCTATTTCACAAAATTTGGCACGATTATATAAAAAAGCAAGTTTTGCAGAAAAACGTGTCATGAAGGCCAACCAAGATGAAATTTTATGTTGGTATCGATTTGCAAAAAGCTTTGAAAAAAGAGTCAAGGAGATCATGAATAGTAATAGCAGGCTTAATGATTAACAAGCTAGAACCCAAGTATATGAAGAAGTTGCACAACATTTATCTGGTTTTACAAAAGATTGTTTGCGTAAGAAGATCGCTAAAGCTAGGAATATCTATAAGTTGTTTAGACGAAACTGTCACCCCACATCTCGTGAAGAAATTAGGGGAATAGGAATATCAAAAATCAAGCGAGTTAAATCATATAGTGCGGATTATATTTCAAAGCTAACCTTCACACAAATTCATAATATTATAGAACATTTCTCCAATGCTGATTGCATCCCCTCAAGTTAACGCCAACATGACCATCACGTGCTTACTGTGCCTGTGAACATATATGCTATGAATAGTAGTGAAAAGATTCTTTGATAATTAATTTATATGTAGTTTCAAAAACATTGTAAACATATAAAGCATTTAATAAATTATTTTTTGCCCACATGCAAAAACACCTGATTCCTGTGATATGATATACATCATATACCTCTGATTAGCTATTATGCCATTGGAAAATCACTTACATACATGTGAATATGAGAAAAAAGGAATTAGCATAGCCGAGATATATGACCCTATATAAACCTCCCAATATGTTTGTAATCGAATAAAAATGAATCTGATATTTTATTATCATATACTTGCTATAAATTATTATAAGTCATTAAAATTAGTAAAACGCTATAAATCACTAAACTGCTATCCTATATCCGTAAAATAGTTAAAACTAACTATCCCGATTTAAATCCTATAGTAGTGCAGGCGTTAAACAATCTGCAATATAAATATAGTGGTAAAATACCAGAAATGTGGTATTCTCGTGTTCGTTATCCATTCAAGAAACTTCTTGAATATAACCCAAAATACTTCTCCAAGAACGGATTTATCCAAATGGTTGAAAGGATATATATATATGGAAAATTTAAAGCTGGAAGACGCTCATTTAATATTTATTGCACTGTATGCGACTCCTTAGTAATTATCCGTGAAAATAC